TTTTTAATTAAATTACTTGAAAATAGTTAGAGAGAGAGAGAGAAAGGGGGGCCCAGCGAGGATGTTTGCCCCGGGGCCCATGCTGGCTCTCGACATTATGTATCAATATGCTACAATTTCATGAGAGCTAGGAGAAACAAATTGTATGTGCAATAACTCAAATAACACTAGAAGAAAAATATCCTGACCCTAAAAACTTTTGTGCATGAGCAAGTTTTATATTGAGCACATCCACAGAACATAACTTTGACTGGAACTTTCTTGAAATTATGGAAGTCAGAAAGTTAACATTGTAATGATTTGAATGAATTTATACTAATATATGTTACAACTTTTTTGTGTTTTTATTCTGTTGTAGTGGATAATTTATTGTACGTTGCTTCTCACTATTTTTGTATAAATTGTAAGTTTTGGTATCCTGAGACATAATTTGAAACTGGTTTTTTTATAGGTTATTTATAAGAACTATACCAGTATCCTTTTTTGAATAACAGTTTCTCAAAGTATTAATCTATAACTGGTGGTTCGTGAACCCTTAGGGGCTCAAAAGATAATTCTGAGGGATTTGTGAGAAAAATTTGGTAGTGGCATCTTTTTCACTCTTCCGATTCTTCAGTTTTTACCAATATTTTAATTTCCTTCTAATTTATTAAAATATTTATGGAAGGAAATAGCTTGATTCAGAGCCAGATTTAATATAATTATCTCTCATCTATTGAACTGAATTTTAAAACACTGTTCTTCAAGCAAGGTCAGAAGTCTTGTTAGTTTTAGTTAAATGATTTTGTTTTAAATTTTTGTATTATGTTTCAAGAATTATATTTCAAAATTAATGGGTACTAATTACAAACTAATGACAATATCAGAGACTCAGATTTTATTGTAAGCATATTACATACTATGTGTTATAGAAACATTTCATTTCAATAAATTTAATGCATCCAAAAGTTATTTTATAAAATTTATTGCTGCTTGAAAGGGGTTCACTGCAAAAACTATTATTACTCAAGGGGTTTGCGAAGAGAAAAAGTTGGGAACTGCTGATGCATAATAATGCTTTCCAATTTTTTAAAGTAAGTTGAAATATGAAATGATCTACATACTACTAATAAGTGTAATAGCACTTAGCTCAATATGTTTGGCAACTTGAATCTCACTTGATGCCTTTGCTAAGTATTGAGTTTTCTCATTCAGAGAAATAGCTTAATGTATAGATGTTAGTAGACCTTTTGTATCCATGCTTTCCCATCTTATAACCAGAGAGAATTCTCTTTTTCTTTTCAAAATTCATGCAAATAACCGGATACCTTCTCTACAAGTGCATGGAAAAAGGATTCCATTGTGTTTTAAAACAAACTGTGTTGTTTAGGGAGATTTGGGATTATTTTATTTTTTGGTTAGTATTAACTTGCTAAAGTTTGTTTGGAAAATTGGAGTTAATTATATCTTGCAGGTAATATTAATGTACTAAAAGTATAAATTGTATATACAATTAAAAAAACAAAAGTAGTTTCATTTCATTACTAGAGAAAAATTAACACTTTACAGTCTTTATATTATTAATTTAGTTAATTATAAATTTACTGCTTTATTAATTTGAATTTTGGTAGTTTTGTATTAAAAATGCATAATTGACATATGTAATGTACATATTAATATGATAATACTATAAAGAACTGTTCAATACTATTAAAAAAATGGATTTGGTGTAGTTATACAAATAATCTACAATTACCTAATTCTCTAGTGTCTTTTAATTGAAAGTCTATTCTGGCAACTGTGTATTAGAAACAAGACTTCAGTCTGTAACCCAGAGGTATTATGGGAAGTTAAATATGATGGTTCATATTTACTAAAAGAACAGGTGTGAAACTAAAAATGCTGAAAGTAACTTAATTCTTAATTGAACAAAAGTGCATGAAAAACGTACTCAATTTTCATAATGGTATGCAGTGCGGTGTAATAATGTTTGAACAAAATTTGAAAAAAAAAAGAATCCTACATACCTGCCATAACCTGACAGTGTTACCACAAACACAGGATTCATTTTCTCACCTGGTGTGCAATGAAATAAACATGTAATAAGATAGGGATATGTGGAATGGCATTTTGATGATTCAAAATAATTAGTTGGCTCATTTAACACTAGAATATTGATGTGTGCAAAATAATGATTAATTTTATACCCATGATAGTCTTATTCTCCTCTATCTTAAATGAAAATGGCATGTGCTGTTAAGTTTATTTTCTTTTTGTACAGTGAAGATGCTTGTAAAGTATCAACATGCTTGATTGCCTATATGTAGTGTTGTACATTCTGTTCATTACTACGTGATTGATCGCCTTGATAGATTATTTATATGAAATCTTAAAGTCATTCAAAGAACTAAGTGTACATACTAGTAATCTAAATAGTCACTGTTATATTAAGTAACGTTTTGATTTATAATCAGTGCTATAAAGTACAATATCATTTAAACAATGTAGCACTCTTCTGAAGATACTTAACATATTTTCAAACAACTTTTATCTAAAAAAATATTACTGTACAAACCTTTCTGGTGATTAATGAAAGAAAATTTGATATGTTTGATATAGTTATTCCATTTAGTAACCTTTGATATTTCTTCATTTCTTCCATGAATACTGTTGGTCAAATCTCTAGTATTCTTGAATGTGTTTCAAAAAATAATTTTCATTCCAACAGTAACAGACGTATGCAATCAACTGACACTTAATGTTGGCCTATGGCTGAAAGTAGTTGTCTTTTTTAAATCTTTTGTTTATGAGGGTTTTTAAATTAATAAAGTTTATCAACTTTATATAAACTATTGCTAAGTAATGATGTGCAATTAAAATGTAAAATTCTGGTATTAAAGGAAAATACTTTACTGTATGGTAACATCATATTTGTAAGAAAGACAAGTTCATTACGTGATGTAGTCTGTGATTGGTCCTTTCAGTTTTAAATGTGTGATTGTTTGTCTGAAGTTAGGCAGTAGCTGTCATGCAAGGCCTGAAGAAATAAAATTCAATTATTTTGCCAAAATGGACAGACCACAATAATCAAACATCCTGATAATTTGATGGTTGTAAAGTTTATAAAATAATTCATTCAGCAGAGAATGTCAGTTACATGCAGGTACCGGAAAAATAATAATACAGTTGTAAAGTGATATTTGTGTTGGAAATTTTGCCACTGGAAATGATGTTTTTACTGTACCTAGTATGATTGTTGCTTAATTTTGTACAGTAATGCACAGTTGAGGTTATTACTATGTATAATTAGTATTTTTTGTATATCAACATGAAATTTCTGTTTAAAAAAACAAACAATTGGTACACAACAACCAGTTGATTTATTTTAGAAGTTTAAGTTAGCAACAAATCAAAATAATAATTTTCTATTTCAGAATTGTTCCATACTGAACGCACTCATGTACGAAACCTTAAAGTACTAGACAGGCTGTTCTTCAAGCCTCTACAGCAGGAGAAACTACTGCAGCAGGATCTGCTAGATCTTCTTTTTCCTAACCTGGAAGAATTATTAAAGATTCACAGCAGGTTTAACAGTATCATGAAAACCAAGAGGAGGGAACAGCCAGTCATACAAGATATAGGAGATATCATGCTGCAGATGGTAAGTCCTTGAACCCTTGGATCTTAGTTTTCTTGTTACCTCCACCACCGAAGGTGCTGGAGGTTATATTTTCACCCCATGTGTTTGTCAGTAAGATTTCTCAAAAAACAGCTGAATGGATTTGGACAAAAGTTGGTATACATTTGGATTATGGCCCAATTTCAAGTATTTGGAGGGTCAAAGTCACAGCAAATATCACAAAAATTCAAAACAATACCACTTTTTCACACAATTATGTACATGTATATTAAATTTCAAAATATTATTACAAACCATAACACTACATCAATAACATCTATTTAGCACAATTCACAAAGAATTTTTTGAGATTTTACTTATGAACAGCTCTGAGAAGTCTTGTATATAAATATGCATTTATCAGTTTCTTAACCTTTTTTTATTTGTCCATCCTAAAGTATACTATCATATTTGTTAAGGAATGATCATTCCTTGAGAATGTAATTATCCATGTCTTGTTTCTCATGTGATTATGCTTCTCTCTCTTAGTTTTATTATGACAGGCCTTCATTCCCACTGTTTTATGATGTCACAACATGTGAGCTGAACAAGTGCAAATGAAGCATGGCTTTGAAAATAGCTGTAGTCAGCATTTAGATTATAGACAGTTTATGCCATTGTAGAGTAAATAAAATGGTATGAGCAGTAATTCATGGTTTTGTGGGAAGTGAGTAGATTGAGCACCTGCAAGTATATATAAGGAACTATAATGGGAAGATTACAATATTGAGGAACAAATCACAGATTTGGAAATTTTTATAGTTTTTCATGTTAAATTATTCTATTCAAACAATGCACACAAGTAAAAGAACATTATTTACTGACAAGAAACTATATTTATTAGATATAAATTGATCTTGGTCAAGACTATTATATTGTTAATAACAGTCATGATACTTAGATTGAGGAAGGTATAATATTGATACCACCTTAAAATGTGTGGTCATAGCTGGAAATGATGACTGTTGGAATCAGTAAGATAAGGTATCATGAGAAATGTGTTAACAAGTATCAGACAAGTTGGAACTAATTTACTGGATATATAAAATGTAACTTGCTGATCAACAATACATAAATGTTTCGATCCTAAGGTGAAAAAAAGTACTTCTAATATTTTGGAAATTTCACAGCCTACAAGATGATAAAATATTAAATCAAACTGTGTTCTTTTGAAGCCAGAACTAGATATTATGAGATTTGTTCTAAGTTTCACGCAATTTGGTAAAGTATTTCCACTATGAGAAGGAAGAAATCAAGGGATATCAGTGACATTCTTCAGTCCAGAAAGGGTTAAGGTAACACACTATTTACTTATTTACAAAGTAAATTCTTAAATAAATATGCTTGTTACAGAAAATGTTAATGATGGTAATAACTAGTGAAAAAGTTGTGATGGTTTCATTTGGAAAAATGTTGCTTTCTTTCCAGCTTGATGGCTCTTCTGGTGAGGAACTAAAGAGTGGAGCAGCTGTGTTCTGTCATAATCAGTCAGTTGCTCTAAAACTATTAAAGAGTAAACAGAAGAAAGATCAGAAATTGGCACAGTTTTTATCAGTAAGTCCGAGTGTATTATTGTGCTTTGCAAAAGGAGGCTAGTTTAGTTTTATCATATTTTTAGTGAACCCAGCCAATTTTTGTGAGAAGTAGAATAATTTGTATTATTTTGTGTATGTGTCTCTCTACATATATGTATTTATATATAGATACAGGTCATCCTTATGTATTTCAAAGGGTTGCAGATTAAAATGTAAGCTAATGCTAAGCTGTAGTATTAAACAAATTTGTATGCTCATTCAATTTTATGTCTCAAACTTTTTCACTTAAATACTTCATTTGATATAGATTGATGAATATAGGAATATATATGTTTTAGAAATGCAGTAAAACAACAAAATTCAATTGGAAATTAACAGTTTATTTAGCTCTTTTTTATTATTATTATTATTATTATTACTAGCAGAAACACTGCCCTACGGATGGCTATTTGTGGTAGTAATTACTAATTGTAGTATTCATACCTTATTGAAAACATTTTATAAAAATATTTTTCTGGGAAGTACTGCACTGGAAAAGTGTTCAGATTGTGCTCTTTAGTCCTATGCAATTCATTGCATCAAAATGATTCGATGTCGAGAGCTCAAAATTTTCATAGATTTTTACTAATATAAACTGTAATGTTTTTATATATTAAAAGTGGTACCATTTATTAAAAAAATTATAGTTTTTTTAAACTCCAGTTTTTCATTACTAACTTAAAAATTACATCAATAAAGATATAATCAAACTCTCACATACACTCCTAGTGAAAGTGGTTTTCTTGTTGTGAGGAGAGTAGTTTTATTTAAAATTGTATTCTACTATAAAAAAATGGTTGTTGCATATTCCACAGTTATTTTTCTAATTTTATGAATCTTGAATACCCAAAGTTTGAAATTTTATTTTGTGATGCTATTCAGTAGATGATGGAGGATTTTGGTTACATACATAGGTATTGACATACATGCTACATCTATTATGGTAAGATTACAGAAAACTGGGACAGCTGTTATGCTAAATTTGTAAGCAGATTTGATATTATGTAAATATGTGGCATTTCTAAAGTGGAAAAAATCCTACCTTCAAAACCCTTACCCCATTAACTCTTTCGACACGGGTCGGTCAATTTTACTGAATCATGTGACCTTGTGTACTCCTTTAAAGTTGACATATTGGGTATATCTTCATGAAATTTGTCAGTCTTTTAGTTAATATTACAAGTTTTTCACATATAAAAAGTCATATTTCTTAGTGAAGTACTTTTAATAAAATAAAATATTGTCCATGAATATATTTAGTATTTGTTTTGAATAGTTCGTGTGCAAAGTAATTTTCACGTTAAAATTAAAAATACTTTTCACCATCTCAATAATCTCAAATTTCCTTTGTGTAATCCCTAAAACCTCCTAAATGCATTTCAAACGTTTTTTTCACTAAATCCTAATAGTTTATATGTTATTTTTCTCTACCCTAATCTCAAAAGGGGATCGGTCAATTCGACTGACCTCATAACCAGCAAAAAAAAATCTAAATTATCCCTCTTTTCTTTCTAGTATGACTTCAAATTGTAACCTGAAACTACATTCGTTTATCCTAGATAGCTCTAAGTTCATAACGTTATACATCTATATGTAATTAAATTTTATTGTTTTATTGCCCTATGAACCGTGTCTAATTGCTATCTGCGCCATTATAAGTTGTAAATCACTCGGGAATGTGCAGCTAATGTTACGCTATCGAATTACAATACCCACGAGCTGCTCGTGTGTGTGCTTCATGAACAATTTTAATTATTATTATTACTTATTTTACCTGTTCTAGTCTTAAATAACTTAAAAAGATCTGTACTTTTAATTTTAGTTACTTTTATAATAATAAATAAAGAATAAATATGAAAAACAAGAAATAAAGTACCAACACAATCTTCTTTTTTCTTGCCCTAGATTGTTGATGAGAGTTAAGCCTGATTTTTTTTTTAGTAATTATAGTAAAGCTCTTAACAATTTTTATTTAATTAAATAATACACCAAAGAACATAGACTAATAACATGCAAAAAGTAGACAAATTCACTTACTTCTAAAAATTTTTCTGGCTTTCTAACATGTGACAAGAGTCATTAGAAATTCATCCAAGCTAGTCGTTAACTTTCCCACGGGAACGATGTTGCTACTGGGAGTGACATTGACAGTTATCTGTTTAGAACACAATGTTATACAATACGCCATTTGATAGATGAAAACCTTGACTTTCTATTGGTTATAGGTAATATATAATGAAACATAAGAGAGAACTATCAACCAATTGTGAAAGAGAGAATGTGGCAGGAGGGGGTCTGTATTTTTTCATTGATAGCTCTGTAACAAAACAAAATTGAAGGCCATAAAAATTATGGTCTGTTTCATACATTTTCGAGGGGTGATGGATAAAATAGGGATGATGACATGCTAAGACAAAATTTGTCATGTGTGTGTTACACTAGTGGAAATGCAGGATTTTTAAATATATTTCCTTTTAGAATTAAGAACTTAAAACTTTTATACTATTAAAATATGGATTATTAGCTAAGATTTTACACTATTCTAATTGGTATAACATAAAGAAAAAGTAGTTTGATAAAATTTTGAATGCAAGACACTAAAACCTTGTGTCATGCGTAGTAAAGGGTACCCGTGCCAATAGGGTTAATACAAATCAAAGTCACGAAATAGGAGTATTGTATTCAGTGTTTCCCCTAATAGATATTCTAAGATGTTCTAGAAATGTTTGAGAAAGGTTAGTGTATGTGATTGGCTACTGTTAATGTTTTACTGTTAACCCTCTACATGCTGGCCTGCTCTTCTGCATATGTAATGACATTTCAGAGTTACATCCAAAATTTAATTAAACAACTATGTTATCAATATGTATTAATAAAACTGGATGTACTTCTGCAGGGTCTCTGAAAGTGTTCTGTTTCAAGAGTAAATAAAATTAAAAGTAACAAATATTTTTATTTCTTGTGTTTGAAGTTCATGTCATGCTGTGTTGTAGCCTACAGAGAATATATTTCTTCATGTGATTCATGGCATGCACATTTTACTGATATCATGACAATATAAATTGCAATGTTAAGGAGACATTATTTTAGTATCTATTGACTGACTGACAGACAACATTACTGTATAGTGGTGGGAATGATTAAAACAGGTGACCCCTCAAGGTGGCATTCTTAACATTTATTATTAACATAAGAGTAGTTAATAATTCAAATTTTTATAGTATCTAAGTTTAATGTATTAATTTCAAAAGAAAATATTTAAAACAAATCTCAACCTTCATTTCTATATGCCACATGTTACATGACATGTCTGAATTCTGAAATATCGTTTTTTTAATTTCAATATTATAGCAACTACACTGTCTGACTTAGCTTAGACACAAACTGTAAACAATTCCAAGGTCTAAAGTAAAGGTTCAATGTGATAACTTCTTCCTTTAGTGAAAAATAAGCATTTGTTCAACCTAAGATAGAAACTTTTCCCATCTGTACTTAACTTCCAGGGCAGTTTTCAAACATACATGTTCCTATTTGGCATATATGTTTATGACCAATAGAAAGAGCTTATTTTAAACTATATGCTTTCAATGGTCCTTTCACTTTGGCACCAAATAGGCATTAGACAGTAGAAGATTTGATTAGGTGCTTATTAGTAAGTTAATGGTCATAGCATTAAATAATTTATTGGTTTTTTACCATATATATAAAGCTTAGATTCCATTTTAGTAATTTATGTATTATCTATATTTTGAAATGCATATTTGAAAGGTAAATGAATTTTTCTGTCAATAAAGACTCGAGAGAAAAAATAAGGGTTAGGTAACTAAGAATGCACAAGTCCAAAGCTGCATGTGTGAAAATGTTCCCAGTGTGAGGTGTCACTTTTCAGGTCTGAAAAAAAAGATATCGTACAAGCCTGGCAGTAAAAACTATAAAATGGAAAAAGTATAATAT